TACACGACTAGATCTCATGCATCTCGTTGATCCCAGGAAACAAGATCACAAAATCCATGATTTTGCAGCATCTTGTGGAGCTGAGACAGCTCCCACATTATTCTCCCTGACTATGAGAGACTTCTTCTCTAAAAACATTCAGATCTCACTGTTTGTTGTTCTTTCTTTCGAAACACATATGGAGATTTCCAAAAAAGTGATTCACCACTCCTATCTAGTCATCTATCTAAGAGAGCATTGTTGAACTGAATTAAAACAGAGCACCTAGCTTACTCCATAGAACCTTCAAAAAAATAACTTAAAAATAGCTCATCTCCGTCTCAATTAATGGCATGTTGGACCTTCCTCAATAGTGGCAACCTAATAGGTAGACAATACAGTTACAAAATTCCTAAACCCTCTTAGCATGGGTTTTCCGATGTTCGGTTTTGATTCCTTAAACTCATTAATTTTTTGGTTGATTAATGCTAGTCTTGTATTTGCTTTCTCAGGATAAAAGTGATTTGTGATACCATATTCTTAAACTCTATATGAACGCATATTATTTCAAAGTCCTTCCATCGTCAGAATACAATGTGCTTCCCTTTTTTTTGTGAAATAATATGAGTTTTTATATAGTTCAAGATTTGAGCAATTGTCATGCTGCCAAGGACGACCTAATAGGATGCGACAAGCATTCCATATATACCTCAACACACCATACGTGCTCTTCAAACCTATCTTTAATAAAAACTCCACGAGGAATCTCCTGTCAACTAAGATCATTCCATTTCTTCAATCACAACAAGGAATATGATTGGGTGTTTTTCTGTGTTGTCGGGTTCAACTTATCAACCATTTGAGTGGACTTCACATCCTCACAATTACCTTTGCCTATAATAAAGTTGCACACATTTTCCTTCACAATGCAACATATATGAAAGATGTTGCAGCAGAGTCATTCTTGCTCTCTCATAGACTTAGTCTAAGAAATTCGTCCAACAACTAGCATCTCTCCCTTATTAGTTGGATGTTGATACTCCACTTTGACTTCATTCTCTCTTGCGTCATTATATATCTTCAAGTGCTCCTTATTCGGTGAAATTAATCACCCTCTTGTTCAAGCAATCAGATGCAATGTATCAAAAACCATGACGCTTGAAGCACTTCCTAATTGGGACAAATTTAGGAGTGTTGGTGATCTCCTTCTTTCTAATTTATCCTTTGGTGGGGTCCACTTGGGTGCTCTAATGGTTATACAATTTCTGGATGATCATGGATTAAGCTCTATCCGTAAGGTGATGTGGTCACCCGGTGACATTTACTACTTCTCCACCTTGAAAGCTGAAGTTTGTATAAGACTAATAAGACAGTAGCCACACTACATTATTGATAGATGGCTTCAATCTTTTAAGATATATTGTCACTGTGTGCTTCCCTGATTCCACAAACTCATATTTTAGCATTAGTTGATTAAATTCAATGGTTTACTCCTCCACAGAAGAATCTCTCTGACGTAGGTTGTAAAGTGTTATGAACATATCATATCGGTAATGTATAAGATGGTATTTGCGTCATATCTCCCTTTTTTTCCCTAAAGACTATGTGGTAATCTTATTTTTCTCTTCTCGTTGTCGATGACGCTTCAGGTTCTGCAATCAAGAGAAAGCATTCTTCCCGAATTTGATGGATGTGAATTTAACTTTTTTGTCCAGGGAAACATCTTTATACTAAAAAATTTGCTCTACTGTTTGGAGTCAATGAATTCATCAAGATCCAAATATCCGTCAAAATCTGGAGAGTAAATTTTAACTCCAAAATTATGGCCCATTTGATATTCCATGCTAAATCGTCAGGTATTGGTTCTTCATCATTGAAAACTTCGTGGTGGAAGAGATTCACATCCTCCTCTCAATCTGATGAATCGTCATTATGGCTATGAGTGACATCTTTGGGTTGTCCTCTCTCAAAGGAGACAAGCCTTTATTGCAGTTGTAGAATTTCCTGTTACATATCTTGCATACTAAGCTCATGAACATCTCATTAAAGATTTCTTCTTGGCTCTTACTGTAATAAAAATTTCAGATGAAAAGAATATGATGATTTAAGATTTAGGTGAGGATTACAACTAAATGATTGATGTGAGAAATTTTTTTATGGTGGCATTAAATTACGTTATATGAAATTTCGATTTGAAAGCAAGGAAAAAAAATCCTTAAATTTTTAGTGTTTATTGGGCTCTAATACCAAATGGCACTATTATAGAGTTCCTATAAGGTGTCAAAGAAATGGACTTAGCAAGAAAGTATTTGTGGAATAACAAGAGAATAAGAATATAAGAGGTTGGAAACGTTTAGAAGGGAATTGGAGGCGTTCGACAACTCTCAGGTTGAAAATAGCGGCAAAAATTATGAAACAGTGAGATACAAACGGAGAGAAGGTTTCATCACTTATTACTGAAATAGGCACACCACTTGCAAAAGAAAAAGAATACAACACTCCTTATAGCTTAAATCAAAGAATACAATCTCTAAAATAGATAAAACAGTAAAGTCTCTAAAAATAAAAAACAACAAGATATAAATAGTTCTCTCTCGATAAAATTGTAATTCTAATTAAAAATTAACAAATAAAAAAAGGGTCGATAAGGCCTGCCTACTTGAAAAATCCTGAATCGGGAATTTCCAGGCAAGAAATTTCCTACTACAAACCATAAAGATCTCCCATATCCCGTTCATCCCGCATAGGAGGAACTGTGGAATACACAATTCCACAAAAATCCCATGTAACTAGGATAGCTCCCACGTCAACCTGATAGTTGTCTTATAGAAACATTAATGCTTATTAGTAAAGTAGTTGACTGAAAGGTGGCAATGTAGATGGTTAGATTCATCTCTACTTTACATGAATCTGGTAGCAATGTAGTTAGTTAGATTCATCTTTACATTTTGTGAATCCAAGTGTGGAAACTTGAACTTTGTTGGAGGCTATGTCAAGCAATTAGTTTGAAAAAATCCATTGGCCAGCTATAACCATCCTTTTTTGGCCTTTGGATGTGAAGTTGATTATGTACAACTTTCATGGAGTAAGTGTCATGACTCACATCCATTGCAGGAGTTGTAGTCAATATTCTCATATTTGGTGGTTGTTGTTAGATAATAGAATCGGAGGATTCTTCTTAAATGTCTTCTACGGATCTGTTTGGCGCAGCTGTTGATTATTGATAAGCAGATTATTCTGATAATCTGATAATCTTGATAATCTGCAGATTATCAGAATAATTTTTCTTGTTGTTTGGGGCAGCTTATTTAGAATAGCTTTATGGTGGTTAAACGACATTCTTGCTCCTGAAGCATACCTGCAGCGCGAGTAATGAACTCGATCGGAGATCTAGGTACGCGAGCAAGGGTCAATCCGATCTACAGAGGAATGTAGAAAGGAGCGCCGATCCGATCTGCAGAGGAGCTTCGATCCGATATGCGGGCGCGAGCGAATAGCATAGGAGCGTCGATCGACAGCAGGCGAGAGCATCGGCAGCAGCGAAGCGAGAGGGTTACGGCAGGCGAGTCGTCGTTCGTGAAATCTAGGGCCTTCGCGGGATCGAGGGTGATCAAGGGTTGCGGGGTAATAATCCCACCCTGAACGCCGAACGCGGGGAGCTGGGAGTGAGCAGAATTATATACAAGTATTAACGTTGTGTTCCCCGACCGCAGGACCAAACGCCCGAACAAAAGACAACACGGCGTTACGAAAACGTCGGACGCGGAAAAGAAGTTGCGTCAAACGGGCCCTACATTTAGTGGTTTTATAAATATGCTCCAAGACTATTGAATCATTTAGTGAATCTTTCTTCCATTTGATTAAACCACCTACTAGAAACAAAGTCATGATTATCTATTTCAAGTGATCTCTCCCTATCATCCAGCACGCCGATGTTTAGCTTTTAGCCTTCAGCATCTATATACGTCCACTGCACCTTAGAAGATATTGAATACAAATTTATCCATCAATAGCGCCAGAAACTCACCAAAGTGACTAAGCAATAGAAATAAAAAGAGAGAGATTCTAGAGTGCAACGTTTGATGAAATCGCCATATTGCCTGCCAACTCACACTTCAATCCTATATTTATAGGCTAGGATCAAGACACCTCACTAAAAGAAGACCTATTTGAGCAACAAAGGAAGAATTATGAAACAAAGTTTAATAAATGCTGGTTGAAAAATAGAGATAGCTAGCCTGTAGCTAAAGAATACACGGGGATTATAGGTAAAACTCCAAGTGGGAGATAATTCCATGTGAAGTTTCATATCGGCTTCATTGAAGCCTACGGAGGCTTAGGAATAGCCATAATGATTTCGGCAACTAGCCCTACAATGCCCTAGGCCAAATTCGCTTCAATCAAGTAGCCTTGAACTCAATTCATTGGTTGGCAAGATAAACTAAATCCAGTATGACGCTACTTTGGCGTACACATCCCACTATCCTACGTGACCTTCTCACACAAATAATGAAGAAAATTTATGGCTAGGCTAGTGTCGTGAGAAGTGCATAACTTTTTGCATCAAAAAGTTCAAATTGCTTCTTGAGAAAGTTCCCTAAAGAACAATGTTGCTAGAAATGTAATAAATGGTTAAACTCTATTGGATCATTATTGCACTAAAGTTGATCATTTGTAGAAACTCAAAGTATCCTTTATCTACATAAGAAAAAGAAAAACGCAACCTTGAACGTATTGCAGAAAGCAATATAAAGCATTGTTGTAATAAATTGTAGTGGAAAGAAAGACTTAAAATTATCCACAAGTAATATTAGCTGTGTCTAACGTTTTATAAAGAATTAACACCACATACCCCGGAAGGAAAACCTTACTGCAGATGGTCAATAATCAAAATAAGAAACAACAGCTACCATGATATACATAATTCCATAGCATATACTTATTTTCAATTAAGGCAAATAAAAAGTTGTAACATTTTTAAACGGTTTCAGCACAAAGCCAAGAAATACTGAATAGTTTACCTCCAAAAATTGCATAATGAAATCAACAAGTTTGTGCTTGTGCATGTCCTCGCAGTGGTAGTTTGTTATTAGAAAGCTAATATCATAGCCCTGAAATGAATAGTTTTAATAAATACTTACCAGCACAAATATTTCTTAAGAATTTATATGATCCACAAATTGCAAGATATATGTAGCTGCGCATTGATAGCGATAAGAATCTTGAACAAAAAGGGGTGTGCGTGTGTGAGACAGAGAGGGAGAGAGGGAGAGGGTGGTGCTTGCAGGATAGAAGGTAAATAATCAAGGAAAATGAAGTAAGTCATTTAAGAACATAACTAAAACAATCATTATGGTGTGATGCTTTATCATCAAAAAAAAATAGAAAAATTTTATTACTTAAAGCAATATTAGATTCTAGGACCATGCTTAAAACTCAAATTAACCGCTGTCTATGCTAGAGAAAGCATAGAATATAATCATTCGCATGCTCCTTTTACTAGAGATAATCAACTCCACAATGCCGATCATGGGCTGTATTCCAGCTATTTAGGGAGCATAAAAAATATTCTACATTATTTTGGTGCTAACTATAGTTTTGTAAAAATACTTCTACACTATAGCCATGTAACCTTTGATCTGCGCTTTATGTTTTTATCTTTATTCTTTCTAGCCATCTATTATTTTGTCTTTTAGGGCATATCCAAATAATGTGTCACTTTTTGTATATCTAACCTCAATAGGTGCTAGTCCCATGATCTCTCCAATAAAATCTATATTTCATCATTCCTAATTTTACCATGAATTCAATATTCGCATTATAAATTTTCTACATTTTTTGGTCGATTTTGAATTATTTGATGTCTTAAAAATTGGATCCAATAAAGATAACTTTATCGCCATTCTATAAATTTTACAGAATATATTCTCTTATTGCGTATACAAGGGAGGTGGTATAAGTCTTTAAGCATACCACAAGTGATTACTTAGTACTTATCTGCTCTGACAAGTTTTCCAGGCCCGGTACTAAAATTGAATTTTCAAGAGGAGAATTAAGAAATAAATAAAGAAAAACCCAAAAATTTCTCATTCATTGAGGACTACAAATTCAGAGTTCAAGGCTTCCTATGGGAAAAATCGATCTTTTGAGACATCCATCATCTTCCAATTGTCCATGGGTTTAATCTGTAATTTCAAGCAAAAAAAAAGGTAGAGAAACCTTATCCCAAATTAATTGGGTTTAGCCAATTGTCATTATCAGCATAACATTAATGGATGATATGGTCATGTTGATTACATATTGACATATCATAATGAATGGCTTAGTTATCATGTGTAGATCATTATGGACCATTAGAAATAATGTGTAATAGGGAATTGGCACTGTGGGATCACCATGTAACATGACATATGGCAAGTTGACCAAGTTTTGATCGATACATACAATGACAAAACGCTTTAGCACACTCATAAGCATGGCATGTTTATCATTTGTACATCATTGTGCACTGGGAGGCATAATGTGTTAATCGGTTATTGACCACTATGGCATGACACTAGGAATTGACCAAGCTTAGATCATCACATGCAACAATGCATGGTGTATTGATCGTGAATTGGATGTCACGTGACAAGAGGCACAATGATTAAGCTTTGATCATCATGCAACATTACATGCGGCAAGTTAACCGAGTATTGATTGATGAATATCATGACATATAACGCATTTACTCAAATATAGACCATCATGTGGCATGGTTTGATAAGTGTAGACCAGTGTAAACATATATCGAGCAGAGACTAGCACTAGATGGAAAACATGACACATTAATTGAGACTAGATTACCATGGTGTAAAACATATGGTGCATTAACCAAGATTAGGCCTCCATGCGGCATGATAATTTGGATATTACCAAGCATTTATTATAACAACGCGATACATGCTCCTCTTTTTTCAAGGATTGGTTGTTGCATGGCATGACGCATAGCATGTTGGCCAAACTATGAATATCATGTGAGATGACATATAGGGTGCTGACCAAACTTTGACAAGTTACATGATCAATTTGACATCACAACTTTGTACTTTTCATTTTCTTTAAATAGAGAAGACAGGGAAGTATTTAATCAACTCATAATCTAACTTTACTTTTCATCACTGACAACAAATATCCAAAATTCAAAGCTAAGAAAATACCCTATGTTTTAGGAGAGCTCCCTCATAATATCTATGAAAGAGGGATAGTTGAGTAATATTTGAGCCTCACAACCAAGAAGGGTCGGGGGAGGCTTGTACACATAGGAGGCCAACCGGTCCATGCGCATTACTATTTCAACCAAGAAAAAAAAGGATGATAATGAGTTAGTTTAAAAGATTCAACCCAAATTAAAATCAAATATTATGAGTTTAAGTGGAGTCTACTTAAGTCAAATCAAAAGTGACAGATTTTAAGGGTCTATTTCGAGCAGTTGCAACTTAATAGTAAGTTGTTGCGTGCAGCTGTCATAGGAAGTTGCTACGCAGAAGCTGTTGGGATAAGCTGGATATTTGTTTGTTTTTTGAAATTTGAAAATAGTTTTGTTGCAGCTGTTTATAGATAAATGATTATTCTGCCATGTATAGTATTGTTGTTTGCAACAGAACTGTTCATACCAATACATTTCATACTTGACAGCAAATATTCAGTACATAAAATTATAAAACAAAAATAGACACCTTACTAAACAGTGAGTGACATAACTATCAAAATTAAAAAAAGAAAAGTTAAACTAAAAATTAATAATATGATAATAATATTTTTAAAATGCAGACAATGTATGTCACGAGGTAAGTCATTTTCTAGGGATTCTCTCCACGTTCGATCACACTTGGCAATGGAATTTTTCAGCTCATCCGCCCACCAAAAATAGTCACAGTTTTCTGTGATTCTCAGTTGGCACCTGTAAAACTATCTCCCGTAGTTATGTGGTTGACGCGAAGGAGCAGGAAACACTAAAATCCGCGGTAGCAATGCAATCCTCCGAAGGTACCATAAATCCTCGAGCTCATCCTTATTGAAGTCTTAAAAACACAAACTTAGACATAGCACTAGTAAAAATTAATAACAAAAGTAATTAGTTAAATTTGATGTAGTTAAGAGGTCTCAGAGAACTCAGTATGTCAACCAACGAATTTTTCACTACAAAAAGATAGCAAAACTTATAAAAAAATGATTCTTAGTTGTCTTTAACTCACATAATATCAAACTGGTTTGTACCACATATGCATATCACCGAAAAAAATCATCCAGAAGAACCTTAAAAACCATAGCACCGAAAAAAGAAAGAAACTTGGTTGTCTTCATTAATATTTCACATGTGACACCAACCAATAGCGACATAGAGATCATCCAAAGAACTCATCGGGTAAAACGTCTCATTATAGACCTCCAAAACCCACACAAAAAAAGGAAAAAAATGCAAAAGGAAAAAAAAAACATATACAATTTGCATAAAAAAACAACCACAGTAAATATCAAATGTATAATAAACAGATAATACACGAACTGTATAAAATATCGATACAATAAATAATGAATGTGTTCAACAATCATTATAATTAACACAAATAAAAAATAGCATTCCCTCCAATCACCTCTAGCTATCGCATCTGTAATTCATTCTCTCAATTCTTTCATCTTGTTTGCACATTCCCAATCTTGAGTGCAGATCTCGGGAACACCGTTTTGAGTCTGTGACAAAGATTGTCCAAGCTGATACTCATATGTCTCAACAGAGACATGTACGCGATTTTTATTTGCCCTACAGAAATCGATATTGTTGCATTAAGGATGCCACCGAATATACTTGTAGGGAGTCGTCGTGGCAATCACAATCTACACCTGTTTAGGAAACAGATAAGTTGACATGTCGCTAAGTATAACTCATTTTGTTATTCCAAACACTATAATTCTTCTCAATGACACCGCGTAAGGAGTTCCTTTTGTTGAACATTTTTTTTTATCCCGTGTGACATTATTGACTCGCTTAAAGCCAGGTATGTGATATCTCATATCAAAATAAGTCTTCAGATACCCTCGCTACAATGAATACCCAACATCGACCAAATAATATTAACATAATGTGAATAGAATGATTAGTGTTAAAGTGAAAAAAAGTGACCGGCTCAGTCTCAAGCGAACATGTGGGAGGATGTGAGAAATTGTATTTCCTATTCCGTGTTGCAGATTTGAAAATTCAACTGTCATGTGCACTGCCCTCCCAACCGGCTATGCATTTCTGCGTCGGTGACTCACAACGACCGATGAATGCAATTTTCTCATTGTTTGGAACATGTGCATCGACATGTGTTCGATCGATTACTCCAATACAACTCTAGAAAGATAACGAGAGGTTTCGTAATTACTATATTCATATAAAAATTACATGTACTAAATAGGAGAAATTGCTTGAAAGTATAGCATATATGAAACCTCCATGGAGGTCCGTTCGAATGTAGGATTTGTTGACTTTATGACTTGTGAAAAATTGATAAGTGCATTAAGCCCTCTTCAGAAGTATCTGCAAATCGTCTTGAAAGGATGTTGAAATCGTTTCATAGCTCCTCGCATTGATTCATTCTGCGATAATATATATAGGGCTATTGCTAACCCATCTCATAAAATCGTCCTGATGGAGCTATGAAATCCATGTTTTCTATGAAGCTCCTCCAACCGTCTGTGAATACCACCTGCGTTATGCGGAGCATATAGTTAAACCTTGTTGGTTGGCCCGCAAGCCGTTCCCCAACTCATTTGTCGCTAACATAGGAGGATGTCATGCAATGGGAGTTTCATATGTACGAATTATAATACTCGTACACCAAACACACGGTGGCTACAAATCTCCTTCTACACCTTTCTCTATTACCATCGATGTATTTCGGTGTTGAAGTAGCTAACACATAAGCATAAAAAATTTAGTTATAATCATATAATATTATGAATAAAACCAACATCAAAATAACATTACTGAAGTAAATAAAAAACATAACGACGAATGAAAAACTCTCAAGAAAAGTGACATTTTCAAAGCAGCATAAATGTCCAAAGCAGCACGAAAAACCATATGTATAAAGTGAAAATTGTCCAAAGTAAATAAACAAATAATAAATATAAAATGTTCCATAAGAATCTAGTGAAAAAAGTATCTCTCAAGCGTCACTGTTCCCATGAAAGTAAAGTAGGTAATCCACCCTACAGTCAACGGTCATCGTCATGAAAAACTCTATTCAGGTCGGATCTTCAAGCAACTTCATAGAGAATAAATACAGTGACATGTTTTCATAAACTTCTGGAATTGGCTCCAGAATTCGCATAACCTTCTAAACAGATGTTTGTGGTGGGTCAGGGTCATTGATGCATGAAGCCACCAATTGTGTTATCTGACTTCTAATGAAAGCAGCTCCCTCTTTTTTCTTCTTCTCAATCTTAGGTCGCTTTGATCGGCCAGTGGATTCGACTCCATTGTGGTTCGAGCTGAGGCCTTCATTAGAAACACCTGTATGGTCAGCGGCCAAATTTGCAAGGATGCCGCCAAACCTAGCCTCACTGGGGGCACATGCATTGTTGCTCGTAACCACGACACCACCAAACATACAATCTAACTTCTCTTCCAGCTCAGAATCAAAGTCACTGCATTTAAATTTTTTATCGGCTGACACTACCTACAAATTCGATTGACATGTTGGACTTAAAAAAAATTTAAAAAATGAACAAAATAATGGACGTTTCAAAAATATTCACTGTCAGTCTCTCAGTCAACCACTCCACCGAAATATCAATTGTTGGCTTTATCGAATCTCAACCCAAGCCCGTGATTCCTTGCTTCAATTCCTTCTATATTTTTCAATCCATTTTCAATTGATCTCACTTATTTTTAACTACATCCTATCGTACTCTCTACATGATCTCACTTATTTTTTTGATAATATTTTGTTATCCCTCCTTGTTGAAATAGGCTATCAGCCTACTTCCCTTCTCGACCTTCTCGAGGCATGGGTCACAAAATATCATTTTAGTATCCTTATCTCACATTGCAGATGAACAACCTCTTTGGTCTTAACCATTGTGTATACTATCCTGAAATAAACTAATCAACATAAACATTTCCCATAAAAAATATTTAACACAGCTCAAAGAGAAAAAGAATGCCAAAATAGCATCACCACTGCCCCTCCACACCACCTACACATAATCACTGCCAACCTCCACAAACACAACAGTACTACAAACACATTCACACACACAACAAATCTACAACACTACTACCTCTACACACCAACAACTTCACACGCCAACACACTAACCAATACATACACAACCACAAAATCACCACCTCAAAACACATCCACCATCACCAAAACACCCACAACCACACCGAAAATACCCATCACCTCCCCCACACACAAACACACCCACCATCACCAACACATCCACAACCACATGGATACCCAATCACCACCTCCAAACAAATCCACCTCACCCACACAAACACCTCAAACACCACCAATTCCACCTCTACGCAACAACCACCCTTCACCACCACATCTGCGTCCTTCAACACAAACACATCTAACCTCACATCCACCACATAAACAGCATAAACCAACATCAACCAAATGTACATAATCCACCATCAACCGAAAGGCACCCCTTTGCACGTGATTACCAGCTATTCAATGTGCATTCAAAACCAGCACTGATTTCACCAATCAAAAACGTAAAAGAGCAAGCATAAAATTATAATCTGATATTAACTGAAAACCAATTAATCATAAGCAATTGCAAAATCAAAAGCCACAAAATTCTCGAGCACAATAGGCATTAACCAACAGGAAGGGGAACCGCCACACAGAGGAAGCCACCAAATTCTCGAGCATAAAGCCTTTTGCAAAATCAAAACCACAGAAAATTTAGGGTGCAGATTACCCAGTATGAAGAAGAAACACCGCAAAGAGGAACTATCTCAAAAAAGAAACCATAAAACTCTCTGTCATATACGCATTTCCAAAAACAAAAACAATGGCATAGTTAAGGTAAGGATTACCCAACAAGAAGAGGCACCACAGCACAGAGGAACCACCAGACAGATAAACCACAGCACAGAGGAACCACCGCACAGAGAAACCACAGCACAGAGGAAAACCACAGCACAGAGGCACAGAGGAACCACCGCACAGAGAAACCACAGCACAGAGGAACCACCGCACAGAGAAACCACAACACAAATGAACCACCACACAGAGAAACTACTACACTCACAAACCACCGCACGAAGAGGACCCATCACACTCACAAAGAGTTTCATAGTAGAAAAAGGAGAGGAAGAAGAGAGCTAACCAAGAGAGGCAACCCTATCCGTGAGAATCGCGAGAGAGAGAAAAAGAGAGGAGAGTTGTATCGCAAGAGAGAGGATCGCGAGAGAGAAGCACACCTCTAGAGCACGACACGGGGGAGAACGAATCACGATGAGGAGAGCGGCAGCCCTGTCAACGATATACGAAGGAACGTGGGTAGTGGGGTCAAGCCCGCAACCGCGTTTTCTTCGACTTTTTGTAAAAGGCAGTTGCGTCGGAATATCCAAACACCACCGATTGGCATTTTCAAGCAGCGTCGTTGCCCCAAACGGAGCTGAAATCAAGCATATTATTACATACATACCACACAATTCCTATGTATTTACATATCTACCACCTAAACTTTACCTTTTACATGTATGCTACCTAAATCTTCCATGCATAAAAAATACCACCATTGTAAATTTTTAAATGGCTTAGAATAAACCTTTTTAAGTGGTAATTTCTAGTGTAACAATACGACGAGGTTTTACATTAATGTGAAAATTAAAATTCTAAGTTGCTTAAAAATTAAGTTTGCATTACTCAATTAGCTTCCCTGATTTCAAATTTCAAAGTTGATTTTGAAATTCGTTTAAATATTCAAATTACAATAAAAGAGTCTTAACATAAACTAGGGATCTAAGTATGAAACAAAGATATTGTTGATTTTTTATATAAAAAAAACAGTATTTCTGTTTCATTCTCTGCCTCATTTATTCAAAATTATTAGTAGTTCTTTATTTGTAGGCAATTTCTTAATTATTAATTTATAAATTTTTTGTTAATTATTAACTCCTCTTGAATACATTTAGTAGATCTAATTAATTTAAAATTAATCAAAAAAATACTTTTTCATCTTCGGAAATATTCCCTAATATGAAATATTCATCCATGTCCAGCATCCAATCAGAGCTAATAATTTATGGAAAAACGTGTTCACTACTATCAATATTTAGAAAGTTGGCCTCCCTGAGAAGATTCTTCCTTGACTTCTACTCAGAGTGCATTATCATCAAATTATCAGACTAGCTATAGGAAGAAGTCTAAAATGCAATGTTATGTCAATATAGATTACAAAATTGTAACAAAATTAAAGATTTAAATAGAAGCTTTAAGTAACAGTAAATTTCAATGTTTTAATTAAATTGATTTTATAACATGCATGAATATTTCCAGAAATAATGTAACCAGGGCAATTGGAATCATATTATCTAATCCAAATTCAAATCAAACTTATCATCTAATTCGAACCAAAAACAAGATTATCCCAAACTAATAATTCTTGCCATGACTAAGGGAGACGTTGAATCCAGTTCAAGCAAACAAACCAAAACCTTTTTTTTTCTTTTTTTTTCCATAAAGCTATGTTTGAGTAGATACTAACAATTCCAAATAAGTCAACAAATTTTATAAAATATTTCAAGATTAGCTACCAAAATTATTATTATTATTATAATTATAGACACACACACTATATTAATGTGATATGTAATCATGCGTATATATATTTTAAATGTATAAACAATCACAAAACACACATATATGTGCATATATCATATATTGATTTGGCTTCAAGTTGAATCAAAATAATTTTGAACGAATCATCTTTGACTAGAAGCAAATTGATTTCAAATCAACTAAAACACACGCAATGTCAAAAGAGTTTCAAGTTTTAAGTCTGGATCCAGGTCCTTGTGCAATATCACCAAATATCATGCTGATGGAACATTAAGCCTTGCAATAATTGGAAGGAATTAGTCATTTTCATAAATTTCACCGATTGGCAACACATTAGGGACAAACAGCTTCTAGGAAAAATCATTTTTTCAAGCATCAGCTATAAGCAAAACGACTTTTTTTTCCCTGAAAAGTTTTGAAAGTATTTTCCATTGTGAGATACCTGCACTGGTTTTCTCCTTAAAACTTGGAATGCTTCTGCTCTCATTGACAAAAATCTAAGAAACTTTTTTGCAAGTATGTTCTCCAGCTCATCTGCTTGCTTCACCTACACGGTAGAAAGAAAACATTCATACTATATTCCACATGACGACAAAAACTAATTTTATACTCAGAAAGCTTGTGGAAACTCTCATGACTACTCATTGCATATGTTAGTTTTTTTATTAGTATTTTCTTTGGTTTACTCTGTGATTAGGGTGGATTAAAGAGCAATCAAAAGTTAAATATTATATTTTAAGCCATTAGAAAGAAAAAATAAATGTGAAAGTAAAAAACCACAGAATGCTGCAGACTGTATGAGTTCATTCAGCCATTTTGTATGGAATGTATAAAAACTTCTTTAAATCCATTCTTATTGTGTGGCATTTGATGTTCACCAAGTTAAGAACGTCATTTTGCATAACCTCCAGACATCTTTGATCTGAACTTTCTTGTTGTGATTGATATTCACAGATTTATAATGGTCATTAATCTAAGATCCATTTCAACCTTTCTGGTTTAAAACTGAGGGATATGGCGCTATGGCAAATTGGCAATAAACCACTCATACTTCATAGTCAACAACAGAAATTAATAAAATATAGACAGAAACTCTAATTTGTCATTAGGTACACAGGAAAGGAGCAAAAAATCTCTAAAAAAAGTTGGAAAGAGCAGCCAAAATACTAATGACAATTTTTTCCATAGAATGGGGTATCTTTAGAAAGGCATCATTTCACATTTAAAATTAGAAGAAAAATCCTCATTGGTAATTTGTATAAGATATTGCATGTTGATAGTGAAGCTTATAACAATCATCAACCCTGAATATTTTAGTTATGAAGGTAAGATTGCTGTTTCTGAGATATGATAAGCAAATAGGCAGTGAAAGGTGCTAGTTTTTATTTTGCTTATGCATCGGTATTTTTTTTTTTTCAATTTTCATATACCACTTATGTCTGGCCACCTTACTGAACACGATCGAGCTCACTCACTCATGTTTGTAGCTCTCATTCTCAAACATTCACGCTGTCATAGGTGCGCACACGGCTTTGGCCGCAAGAGCCATGCATGCTTTCCCGATCCCTAATTTCAACACCTCATGCAATCAAATCCTAAATCATCATGCACTCGGACACAAATAGGACATTAGACATCAGTTTCACTTACACCTAAGGTTATCATGTTGCCATCTCTTGTTTCCCCACCACCTTTTGATTTTTGTTATCCTCGCACATTCGATGTCATACTTAGTCGCTTTCTTTTGCTTAGGACGGTTCCACAAGCAGCCATTCTAACTTTCTACTTTCTAATTTAAATTCTGTTGCTCGCTTGGCATCATTTTTCATCAAATCCTTACCTGTTTTTCCGATCTTATTTGCTCCTAATGTGACAGCCCATATCCTCACACATCAAGTTGTCCGTTTTGGTCTAATGGCCACATAGTTTTGTCTTATTGGGATAACTTCCCAGGAGGTAACCCATCCCAGGAGTGCCCCAACATGAGCAAGCTTAACTTTGGAGTTTTCACTAAAATTTCACTGTTATAACAAAAGGAGCTTCAATGTTTAAGAGTTCAGTTCATTCTACTTGAGGAGTTTCATAATCTCCCCCACATAAGTACTTGATGTTCTTGACAGTACTCCACAAGAATCATCCGCAAGGCAGATACGATTCTAGATGTGGCCTATACAAATTCAAGAGGTGGCTCCCACCATGTAACACTTTGTCCCATCCAAGGTTCAAGAGGTTGGCACTTGATTCCTATCTTTTTGTTGGTGTGATGGTCTGATACCATTTGTGACAGCTCGAGCACTCACCGATAAAGGCATTATCCACTTTGGTCTAATAGTCTCACGGTTTTTTTCCTTTTGGTGCAACATCCCAGAAGGTCACCCATCCCGGGAGTGCTCCAGCCCGAAAATACTTAACTTTAAAGTTTCTATTAAATTTTCACCTTTACTCTAAAAGGCCCCTCGATGTTTAAGAGTTCGGCTTCATTCTACTTGAGAATTTCAAACTTAAGGTTTTGGATGAGCCCCCCATTTAGGTCTCCACCCCTTATCCCAATGATGCCTTGTTTCCCAAAGGCACCTTCTCTCGCTTCCTCTACTTAGGAACCTACACCTACAACTACCCATCCTTCTTCTTCATAAAAGCTATTGGTGGGCTGAATGAGTCGGGATTTCATTCCGCTCTATCTAACAACCAATTCATTTTATTTTTTATCAAGATGCAATATCACTTTCTCGTCAGCATCCATCTACATATCAATGCAAACTTACTCTTATCTTCATTGAAAAAGAGATTACCTTCTTGTAAGCAAATCATCCACATATCAACACAAACTTGTTTTGTTAAATTTTAAGCCTATCCAATATGATGATTACAAGTACCTGAATGTAAAAGCAAACCACCTATTCCATTATGAGCCATCCGCTTCCTAAACTAGCTAGTTGGTCTAGACAAAATCAAAGAGGCGACCCTCACTCAAAAATATGTTCATATAACCTAACAAGTAAATTTCAAACTATATAAAATTTAGAATCATACATGCTAAAAAATAAGTCTTCTAAGTTATGATGAACAGACACTAATGATTAAGGAGCAGCGCAGTGTCAGACATGTATCAAACACAGAAACTGATACGACTCCGACACGTGTCAGACACGACATAAAAGTATCTGATTTAAATATTATTTAAAAAAGGACGTGTGTGAGATGTAAGTGTCCTAAATTAATGAATTAAAACTTTCTAAAAAAATATTTTTAAACATATATATTTTTAAGATTAAAATTTTAAAGAACTATTCTATTTTTCTAAGTTAAATTTATTTTGATGTAATAAATGACAATACTTTTTCAATATCATAAACTATTGTTGAATTTACTTATCTCACCTAAATTAAGAATAAATCTTAATAAAAAATAGGAAAAACATAAAATGTGAAGGGAATAAATCAATCAAAGGTTTCCTAAGATATCACAATCAAATCCTCCAAGATTTAGAGGTGGTGGCCGACCCACATGAGAGGTGAATATGGAAAAGACCAGATATTCTCAAGGGTTTCTTAAATGAGACAAGCCATCTAGCATCACTTAAGGTTTTTACCTTTGAAAGTCCTCAAATATCATTTTGGATAATTGAAAAAGAGTGTGAGAGTTTATACTGAGTCATAGGATAACTATTTCTAATGTGTTTAGCAAGTTGACAAATCTCACATTGATAAAAACTTTAAGTATTTTATAAAGAAATAATTTTTTATATAACTTAACAATATAATTAAAGTTAGGATAACCCATACGACAATAGCATAACATAACTGTTTTGTGTGGTTTCAATTGCAAATTTCACATAAAATTTTTTATATCTTGAAATCTAAAACTGCAAAAATTATGAAAAAATAGTCATAAAGTAGTTTATATATTTAGGATACTCCGGCGAAAATGATTTGCAAAATGAATATCAAACAACTCCAAAAATAAATGTATGTCTGCACATGTATATTTCTTTAGGAGTTACAATCATATCATTAACATTTTATTTTCATATTTATATTTATCATAAAAAATAGAAAAATCATAGTAATTAAAGTTTATTATTTTTATACTTTCGTGAAGATGATTTATAAATCGGACTTATAACGAAGTCCAAAAAATTGTTCAAAGTTTACAGATAAAATATTTCTTTTTTTTTTCTAGTATTTATTTATTTTTTATTAACCAATTACATTTAAAATACTTAAACAGTCAGAATAATATAAAAATACGTCTTAATATAAATATTAAAGCACTCATTGATAAAATATATGCTTGAGCATTGTGGTTAATTCTCATATATACAATACTTGGGTGTTACATATGATATGTATGGAAAGATTCCGTAGAGGGCCCGCAATTTGCAGAGAGAGTGCAAGCTACAGGGAAGAGGATTGGCTGCAAGGAAGAGATTTTTAACAACCTTCAGGGTTCCAGCAGTTGTTGGAGGTTTTAAAGTCTTGCAACCTGCAAAAAGAGTGTTGGCTGCAGGGAAGAGGACAGAAAATAGAAGCTTTCTAGTCGCATGCAGGGGTTCCGACAGTTTTTGGAGGTTTCGGAGAGGGCCTGCAACCAACGGAAAGAGTGTTGGCTATAGGGAACAGGCATGATGGAGGAAATTTCCGGCATCTTGCAATCTGGCGGCTGTTGAAAGAGTTCCGACCAAGAAACTAGGGTTTAGGCTCTGATACCATGTTAAAATTACTTGAGGAGAAAACTTGCTTCTATCATTATTCATAAATAGGAAACATGTATATGGAAATCAATCCCGCCATATTTGCAACCTTACTGAGCATATCTCACCTAAATTTGGAGAGAAAATAATTCTGAATAAAAAATAGTAAAATCATAAAATAGAAAGAGAATAAACCTCAAAATTTTTCTAAGATATCCCGATCAAATTTTTCAAAATTTGAAGATGGTGGCCAGCCCACATAACAAAGGTAAATATAAAAAAAGCCAAATATTCTCATATTTTCACAACTATTATGAAGATTTTAGTCATCATCATCATTTATCTTATCCAAACTACTTAGAATGGGCTTTATGAATCCTCGTTTTCCATTTGTTCTAGTTGAGTGTTGCAAGAGATATGAAACATATTCTTCAATGCTAAATTTCTCTCCTCCTCTAATAGATACAATCTTTTACTTCTTGTTGTGAATGTCCAAATTGTCTTTGGTAATCGTTGCAAAATTTAAGCCATGACTAACCTTAGAAACAAACAAACTTCTGTGCTAGATTTGTACTTAAATTGAAATAACACAAACTTTTCCATTACCTTCACGCTTACACGGATAGAGTTGATTGATGTCTCTATCAAGCATTTTTCTGCTTCGTTTCGACAGATCAACACCTGTTAGATGCGGAAGGTATGCAATTTGTAAATGATCATGTAATTCCATAATCTGGCTATTGGGATCTCAAAAAAGCCCCAAAGCAATGAATCACGATCATGAAATTATGAGAATAAAATTAAAAATAAATAAATGAAACCTCAGCTAAACCAACTTTGATGAAGATTTATGATAATCCTGGTGTTCAATAATTTAACATGGATCCTCAGTACAGAAAGCAAAATTGCATTATTGGAAACAGCTCTACTAATAAATGGAAACTAGTTCTGAATTATAAAACCTTTGAGTATCCAGAAGCAAAAAAGAAGTTATCCCTAATAAGATAAACATTTTGCCAGATTTTTCATCATATATATTGATTAGCCAATATCATTTAAACCAACAAACTTTTCCAAGAAAAATCTGAAAATTTAGTTCACTTGAAAATGTACCAAAAAAAAAATAAGTGGACAATTTAGAATACCTAAAGTCTGACGTAAGGAGTAAATATAGGGACATAAACTACCAAATAGCTAAATAAACAGTAAACTCTTTATTTGCGACGAAATAATAAAACCTTATTGTCCTTCTATCATCTTTTAACTCATGCACCCTGAAGAAATTAGGTTTTGCGCATTAACATTCAACAAAAAAACTCTTAAATGGCCAACTTCAAAAGAGAGCAACTATCTGTTAAAAAATATAACAGAAATATTCCTTACAAACTTAATAAGGTTAATTCGTTTTAAACAAGAGAAAGTATTAAACTATCTCAATTTACACAATGTGCCTCTGATTTTTTTTTTAGTTTTTTCTAATGTGCCTCTGATTTTGAACTAACAGGGCTTACTAGAAAAAGGAGTACTTTCTTAAGGATTGTTGTTATGGGGTCAACTTCCTAAGAAAATAAATTGAGAATGAGGAAGTTTCTAATATTTCTAAAATGAGAAAAAGATGACACTTCTAAGTTAAAGCAATTTGCTATTCTTCACAGCTGAAAGCCTAAAATATGTTTCCTATCAAAATAAGTTCGTAACAATTTATAGATGAAGCATAAAAATATACATCTCACATAAAACCCAGATGAAACAAACACAAAATACAGATGAGGTACATACATAAGAGTGAGAAAGTTACTTACCGGATTCAACAATAACTCCGTGCTAGTCCTGAGAATTATAAAATGAAGAACAAATTGAACAACTGAAGATCATATTTGCAGATTGAATATTAAAAAGTAATAAAATAACCATAGCAGATCCAATAGTTGTGACTGGATGCTGATTAACAAAAAATTAGGAAACCTAAAAATTAAATCTACTACAAAACATCGGCTAATATCAGTTTTCTGCAAATTAGTACATTATTTGCAATATGATTTAATGAAGGCAAGAAGGTCTACCCCTACATTAATTAAAGTTAATCGATAAACTATATTCTGCTAGCATTGGGCTTCCCATATTACATGATCTTATCAGATCCAATCACAGTAACTGGAAGCCGGTTAACAAAAGAACAAGGATAACCCAGTATCGAAACTACTAGAAAACCACAGTTAACATCAGTTTTTTGCACATTAACACAATCTTTGCAATATGATTTAATGAAAGCATGCAAGTCTGCTCACATATTAAAAAATTTTAACTAAATTTAGTAGGTGGAGGAGAAAAGGGTTGTGCCTGGTGTGTGGATTCCCTGCCAATGCAATGTCTGGTGAGCATTGAGGTGTTAAATTTAGTAAATCATTCAAATATTTTAAGAATAAACGCTTGAACAAATGTTATGCGTCCAATTTAACCATATATAACCAGAATGAAAGACTGAATATGCTTGAAAAAGACAACAGCAACAACATTTTGCTTTGTCTAATAAAATTTAAAACCCAAAACTTACTTCAGCTCGACTTCAGGTTTGTTATGCCTTTCAACTTCTTGGCAAGGAAAATTCTACAAATAAAATCACAAACAGCCAAGTAGTCACTTCTAATTTCAAATATTCTACGACAGAAGAAGATATTAGTTATGTGATCAAGTAAAAATTTTGACAAACATAGTCTAATAGAAAACTGCTGTTAGAACCAAACTTTATCAGCAAAAATGAAAGCGAAAGCGTCATTGACCTGGATTGACATCTAAAATCATATATTTTTAGCTACTTTCAAGTTTTTTAATTCTACTAGAAGGAAGAGTAAAAGATTATGACATGGTAAAACAAAAGTAAATTGTATATTTATTTAAAGAGAAAGTTAGGAAGTATGGGCATTTCTAGAAGCCCCTCTCTGAATGTCTGATACAGAGGAACATGTTTTGACTTTGTCAAGCACACTTATAGAGGTTAACAAACCCTATTTCAATAAAAATAAATTAAACAAGGCCTATAAATGAGCCAGACACTTTTTTTGGTAGGCTTTAAAGGGATTCATTTGGAGAGTTCTAGAAAAGAAAAATGTTAATGTAACTTATAATCAAGTCATTAATATATGTATACTAGATCTCTTACTTGTGTTCGAACAGAAGAAGGATGGACCAAGTATTTTCCTGTTTCTGTTGGATTACGTTAGGGGTCGGCTTTAAGCCCATATTTTTTTGTTAGTTATGGATGTTCTTACAAGATATTTACAGGAGGATGTACTTTAGTGTGTGTTATTCGTTGATGGTATCCAGATAAGACTAGAGAAAGAATTCAGAAAAAGCTTGAATTATGGAGATCAACTTTAGAGTCTAAAGGCTTTTGTTTGAGTAGACCTAAAATTGAATACATGAAATGTAATTTTAGTAGTAGTAGATCTAGTGGTGGGGTTATAGCAATGGGTGATCAAGTCATTAAAAAGAGTGAATGTTTTAGCTATCTTGGGTTTATTGTTCAAAGTGATAGTGATATGAATGGGGATGTTATTAGTAGAATTCAAGTTGGTTGGTTGAAGTGGGAGAATGCAACAGCCCTATGGTGTGATAGAAAAATATCACTTAGACTTGAAAGAAAATTTTACAAGATGGTGGTGAAACTTGCAATGTTTTATGGCGCAGAATGTCTGTCTTAAAAAAGAAGCATAAACTAAGTTGAATGTTACCTAGATGAGAATGCTTAAGTGGATGAGTGGCTTTACACATATTTACACATAGAGACTTACACATAGAGACAAAATGTGAAATGAATATATATGTGAAAGGGTTAGTGTAGCTCCAGTGGCAGACAAGATTGGAGAGAGTCATCTTACATGGTTTGGCCACATTAAAAATCGACCATCTGACGACCCAGTTAGGAAGGTAGATGTTTTAATTTTGACTTATGTTAAGAAAGGTAGAGGTAGAACTAAAATATTTAGGCATATCGTATACAAAATGATCTTAACTCATCATAATTAAATGAAAATATGACACTCAATAGGACACAATGGTGAAAAAGGATTCATGTAGCCTACCCCACTTTGTGGGATTTGTTGTTGTTATTGTGTTTTTCAAGGGGATTCATTGTGGCCATGGAACCATCATTGCAAGGAGACGGAAGCTCACATAGTGTAAGAAATTCTCTAATCAAAGAAGGGTAAATCAATTACTAACTACCACAAGATGCCTTCATATTAAGGAAGCCCATTGGGAATTTTTCTAACTACTAGAGGTCTTATTGGTCATGTTTTTGAATTATAAAAGCAAAGATAATGAGACCATCTGATTCGGAATTTTTATCAAACCATTCCCAATTGCATGTTTGCGGGTGTTGTGTGTCCCCAAACATATAAAAAATTCAAATTGGCCTAGATGCACTCGAAGTGCTCACAATCAAGTCAATAAGCAAACAGGCCAAATACCAAAGGTTTAATTGTTTGCCAGCAAGCCAAACCTAAAAAAGATTGGGGTTGCCTAAGCTTGCTTGTGTGAAAATTTATATGCAACTCCGAACATGTCATGTCAAAGGAACAACGGGAATGGGTTCTGGAACCACAGTTTAGTGATTATTCATTACTTCTGAAGTATCTTAAAAGCAGCAAAAGATAAGCACTAAAACTTTTCATGCAGGAGCCTACTTTTGTTCAGCTTCAGAAAATGCAATAGATTTCTATATCTCATTCTAAATCCCAGTTTACCCCAAAAAATAAAGTTTCCTGCCCCATCACAGTATAATCATTAAGCAAAATTTGCGTACCTGCAAGCACATTGCAGCTTCAAGAGTGTTTCGGATGCATGTCAAGTACAAACGAAGGTTGTTTGCCTAAATTTAAACAAAAATCCAACTACTTTAATAATCTGGGGCAGAAACACATACAGTAATTCCAGTATAAAATGAGGCAAATGAACAAGAAAAGTAGATGATTAAGAAAAAGGGGTTTTTAAATAACAAGCGGGTTTTACATATCTCACTTGAAATTCGTGTAAAAAATGAAAAAGAGTATAGAAGATCTGCAACAAGAATCAGAAAAGGACTAAAAAAGTTTTAGAAGGATGAGGAAAGAGGATCCTTTATGGCTATGGTTAGGCAGGTAAAGGGGCGTGCCGACATTTCGGAGCTAAGAGTTGGTTAATGATTGGAAAAGCTATTGATTTGGAATGATCGCATACCATTAGGGCGAAGCTGCAGCCTGCAGTTCATCCGCAGGCCTCCGTTGAAGTAAGCTCGCCGGAGGAAATGGAGATGTACGTTTTAAGTACTAAAAAAAAGACGAATTGCTCGATTAAAATTCCAACTGTTCTTATTTATTTTATATCTCAACTTTAAGTTTTAATATTTATTTGAGAATTTTTACATTATAGCACTAGAAATGTTATAATTTACATGTCTCACATTTTCAAATTTGATTTTATTAAATACTCACTTCCGTGTGCACTTCTGTCATTGTCGTCGTGATTCTTTCGTCACCGAACCAAACCCAATGCAAGAGGAGAACGATGAGAGTTTTGGAGGTCTTTGTACATCATGATACTGTCGTCATTGAATTGATGGAGGAGGTCGTCGTCATTGAACCCAAGGCATAGAAAAATGGGAGTTCTTGAGGTCTTTGTTCACGGCTATATCTAAAACAATAAATGTGAGAGTAAATAATTATGCCATAAAACAATAAAAGAAAAAAACATAAATTAGCATTAGTAACAAATAATTTAAATTTTGTGTAGCTATGTTATTAAGTTTCATCAGAAGAACTCGTTGTCGAAGATGAACCTAAAATTTCTTCTTCACTCTCTTCATCATCCTCATCCAAACCATGAGCAACCTCTTAAAACATCTCTATGGTATCCTCCAACACAATCATTTCATTATTTGTGCCACCATGAATACAAAAATTTGACATATTTTCCTCTTGATGAATTGGTTCTGCCAAAACAAAAGAATCAAACTTTAAATATCATCTTTTTAATTTGAGTCTAGTGATATCTTAAGGCGTGAGTGTTCGAGTTTCTCAATTCGAAACAAGATCAAACCATAAACAGTTGAGCAAGTGAACAATGTAGCTGATATTACTTGGATACAATAATTGAATGACTTCTTTAACTACATCATAATAAAAAATCTCACTGTCTGCGTGTCTTTCCTTTAACAGCGACACCATAGTTATTTGTTTTTTTCTCTTCACACCAGAAACTCGTATAAAATGTATAAACGACTACATCAAATATTTGTCATGTTGTCACACTACGATAAGGTCATATGCAAGATCTAATAATCTCTTATCAGTGATTTCGTTGGTTGTATTGTGAACCAATAACAAATAGAGATGTATCATTAGTGTAACTTTATATGCGACGATAATATTACGCACATGTGATCGAATCGGGACACATCTATGACGATGTATAACTCAATTGCAATGTCGTGCACTCAGCGAGAATGTCCTTTGTCTATCTCATCAAACATGGATGCCAACACATATTTTCCTCAATGTATTATGATTGGAGCGGAGCGGAAGGATGAGAACTATAGGAGTTTCGTACGCTACCTTCTGAGCTAGCTCTAATGACAAATGTATTGTAAACGCTCCTTTAGAAAGGCGATGGATTTTCAGCGAACCCCAGAGAGAGAGGGAAGGGTAGAAGGAAAGTCGCTCATGATGCTTCCGAGCAGAGGGGAGACGAGCCAGAGGGGGAGATGAGTGGAGAAAAAATTAAATTTAGGAGTGTGAGATGAGTAAATTAGGTCATTTGTGTCAAATTTGTGTCGATTTAACTTGATGCTAATAAGAAAAGTATTTGTGACATTTTTTTAATGCAAGATCCATAACAAATCTAAAAGAAGTTTTTGTCATTTTCGGAACACTTACACTAACAAATTGCCCGCCACAAATCAAATGCTAATTCCAATGCAAATATTATAAATTATTTTTCCTCGCGTAGCAGTCACAAATCAACACTAATTGTTGCGTAAAAAATATCAGATGCTAATTCTATCGACTCCTACAGTGATTGATCATGGAGGTAAGTAGTTTAAATCCATTTAACCTTATATCTTAGGGAAAACGGAAACAACCTAAAATTAATAGTATCATTAGAGATTGTTGTACTTGAGGGTCATACAAATCGATAGGAAACTAATTATATATAAGTTAGTCTCATATGGGTGACCATCCCAATTGACTAGGACCATTCGGATAACTACAAGTTTGAACTGAATATTATTTGGTTGGATGGTCGGTCTAAGAAAATACTATATTGAACTCTCTCTATCATAAAATTTGTGAAGTCCCTAAGCAGTGTAAGTTGATTTTTTCTTGTTGAGGATTTGCAATATCTCCTTAAAATTTTGTTAATCTTTTTTAAATTTATTAGTTTTTTTAATAATTCTATTAATTTTTAGGTCAAACAACACTAGTTCTCTATGTTCGACCCTATACAAATAATACCAAATCTACATAACTTTGAATTACAAAATAATATATTAACCAACTCAAGAATTAAATATCAAGAAATACAAATGTAAGTGGGTATAATACAAAACATGTAAAACAATTATGAATAGGGTTACAAAACAATACAAAACAATGATACATGTGATGTAACACTGGGACGTTGTCATGATTTTTTTAGAAAATGCATGGAATCGCATAGTTAACTACATAGGGATACTGAACAGAAGTAACAAATATGAAAATATGATTTTTAAACATAAGTAATAATAAATGCATCAGAATAATATTGTGAACAACTTAAAACAAAATAGTTTAGATAAGGAATAGAGTTAATATACTTATGTTAATCTTCAAATCTCCAAATTGCACGATTATCTTCGACAACAGTGTGCGCAAAAAAGTTGAGCCAACTTTTGCATAGGAACATAAAAGTGCACGTGTTGTTCAAATAATACAGTGAATTTGAGTAAGAAAACTTTCCCACAATGAAATTTGTGATTTTCTAATAAGATGTTTAAATGTCATCTTGAAATCCTATTTTCTATTGAAATATTAGATTTTCCAAAGGTAACTTTGAATATTTTTTTTAAATAATAATGTTGAAAATGTGAGAAACATTTGAATTTGTAATTTGTATCATAAAAATTCCTAAATATGTATTTTCATATGAAATTATTATTTTCAATGAGTAAAAATGGTTTCTAACCTTTATCAATAGTTAAAAATTCTAATTTTAAGATCCCTAATGGCATATGTCTATGAAAATTGCTAAATTAAAATGAAAGAAAAATAAATTGGCATGCTATGTACAACACATTATGAAAAACAAATTCATTAGAAATTGAAATACAAAATAAATAATATTGTATGCTAAAAAATGGTTTGAATAAATCTCAAGGCAATCTAATGATCTGGATTAAAAGAAATAAAATGAGAATCATCCATCTAGAGAAAAGCTATGAGTAGTCATAAGCCGAAAAGCTAGGAACCACCAGCTCACTGACAACCAGTTGATCAACAAAGGCCACTCAATCAACCAAAGAACCACCCAAACCAACAAGAGATAAGAATATATGCTTATGATCAGACACATGTGTAGTACCCTTAACAATCTCATAAGTTTCAACAGGAGGCTCTCCTCAAAAATCTCAAGAAATAACTAAGGAACAAGCTAGATCAGTATACTGGGGAATTGAGAGTAGTTGCCCATCAATGTCAGCTCCCTCGATCCGGGAGTAGTCTATTGACACGCCTTAAAATTACATATTTTTATATGTGTACTTCATGCTCATTTTTAAGGATATTACTTTTTAATGAAAGATATTTTGTGTGTTTTTTATTTCAAGTACAAGAAAATATAGTTTATGAGCAAAAGAAGCATGAAGCCATAGAACAATAAGTGACCTGGCGCCAGGATGTTCGAGAAGGATGACGCCAAGGCGCCGAAAACGGTTATGCATATATTCAATGAATTTGGATGAATTTCGGAAAGGTGTCTGAAGTAACCTTTGGTGATTTTTAGAGATTTATTTATAGGAAATATTTCCAAATGAAGAGGAGTCGATTTTTCGACCACCATTGGAGTGGGCAGCCACCATAGTGAGAGTGCGGTCAGTCTTTGTGATTGTGAGTACTTGTGGAGTCTTGTGTGAGTCTTGTGGAGTCAAGTTCAGTCAGGAAACTTCGGTTAATTTTTTGGGGAAAATTTTGAGATAAGATTTGTACTTTTGTTTAAGTTTTGTGTTATAAACTTAGTTTTTGTTATATATCGTGTTTTGTTTTGTTATCATTATGAATTCTGAGTAGTTTGTTTTTCTTTCTCATTACAATAAGAAGTAATCATGTGTGGGGTTATAATATTTTGAAGATTTCTTTTATTCAATCAATTTGTGATGGTATTTTCATCGGTTCTTATTTTACTTTGCAAACTTGTCATTTGTGATGTTAAAATTCGTTGTGAAATATAATGACCTAGGAGAGCTATGTTTTCACCTAACTAATGAGCACCACACCAAACTTTGGATGGAGGGGATGCCACGTCCAAGGAGGAGTGCAAATAGGCAGGGTAATAAGTTTTTTTGGGCGTAGAATTGATGATTCAAATAGGCAGGGTAATAAGTTTTTTTGGGCGTAGAACTATAGATGACATACTAGATCCTTTATTAATTTGATCTATAGTTCGGGACTAGCGGCCTGATTAGTCTTAATGGAGAGGGTCAGTGGATAGTCTAGAAGTGAGAGGCTAGAATCTACTCAACACAACTATATCAATCAGTGACTTAACTATAGATTAGTCAATGTTCTTTATGCGTTCGGGAGAGGGTAAAGAATATGTCCTATTTGTCACAAAATCTCATTTTCATCTTTAAGTGTTTGATTTATACACTGATTATAATCTCTTTGCAAGAGGAAAGACTTTTCATTATAATCCTACTTCTTTACACATCTGTAGTTTACGAAATTATGCACTTACTTTTAGCTTTAATTTAGAATTAACAAACTTTAGATCATACCCTTTTACAAACAGTTCAATATAATTCTTATATGCATTTTGTTTACAGTTTACGTGGAAATATTTCTAAGTGACGTAGAAATGCACTTATTTCCCGTGGATTCGATATTAGGTTTTTAAGGAAAACTCTATATTACTTGAAACGACGCATATACTTGCATAGTACCCTTAGTATATAAGTCATAAATTAATTGTATATCACATTTATTTTGCACAGTAGATGTTGAATATAAACTCGGTTAAGCTTTTTATCATCTTTCAGAACTAAAAAAATTACGTAATTGCAGGTCGGGCTTCTTTTTCTTGGGGGCATGACCAGTCG